CCTGCTGAAAATTTATCAGAAGTTTGGACCAGATTGCTAGAATAGACAAAGTGACTTCTGGCATAAAATAACACTCCTGAAAGCTGCATTATAGTTTAGGTGGAAAAGCTCAAGATGTGTTTATCTTACAACTTCAACTGCTAGTTGTATCATTATCTTCATGTAAGCAGGACTTCAAGTTAATCCAGTGCTAAGCACATTACTAGTATGTGTATAGGAATACACAGCAGACATTTTTATTTACCTGAAAAATAGTACAAGATGCCTCATTTCAGACAATAAACCCAGAATACCACTTTTATTGAATTTTGTGATGTCAATTTACAACATTCAGGCATTTTTATTCTGGTTTGGGAGTGAAGGGAGCAGGAGGCAGGGGGAAAAATCAGTGCCTACCTTAATTGTTTCATATGTATCTGTAATCAGTGCAATGAAGAGACTTAGCACCATATAGATGAACAGGCTGATGAAGGAGTAGAGGTAGATCCGACTAAATAACCAAACCAAGTAACTTTTCTGTTGCATTCTTGCAAATGTAGCAAACATATCATCTCCATTTATCAGTGAGAAGAGGCATTCTGAAACCATGTTCAGAGAACGGAACTAGAAAAAAAGGGGAACCAAAACATGAGAACATTAGTTCTCGTCTGGTAATTCTATACTTTACAGGTTTATTGGTTTTAAATAGACTGAACAGCCACTGAATATGGCTATCTTAGGTCCCCTTATGTACCTGGGTGCAGACCTGTGTATGACAGCATGCAGTGGTGGTAACACTGGTAGAATATACCTGGGCAACACATGAAGAAGATTAGTTGTTTTGCTAGGGTTTACAGGTATATCTGAAGAGCAGACACGCTCACTTAGGTGTCCGTTTAAAAGGAATAAGAATTCCCTTTAGATTTGTGGAGTCTAAAAATCAGTCTTGTGCAATATCAAGTTATTTCTCAGAACAGTGCATAGGAAGCCTAAGCATGTGATTACTAGTCAGTTGAACCACGTTTCTCTGACTCAGGACTTCCATAACGGAGGAGAGAAAAGTGATCAAAATATCAGTTTGTGAACTCTCAGGTTATAACAGCAGTATTTCAAATTCTTATACAGTTTTCTTATATAAAAAAGTCTTGGAATTTTTACACGGAGGTATGCTAATAATTTGACACTCTTATTTAGAATTTTGTTGTTCATCTGATTCTTTCTCAAAGATGTTTTCCATTACCTTAGCGTGATAAGGTCCCAGTACAATCCATCCACAGAAACAATAGCCCAGATAGATCATAGCAGCACAACAGCAAAATCTAATGACATTGGGCAATGCTGCACGCAGCGTCAGAATAAGGAGCTGAAGAAAACAATGTTAACAGTTAGAATCCACCCAGGCATTTGTTACAGCCATGTGGTAACAACAAACAAAATAAATACCAACAGCACGAAGGTCCCAGGAGATCCTTACATTATACTTCTGAAAGAAACCTAGGTAACGAATTACTCCAAGCCACACAAGCATGGTGGACGTTCCAAGAAGTATGCTGCAGACATCATAACTTGTCAGACTCTAATAAAAACAGAAAAGAACCAATTATTAAACCTGCATTGTTTGGTAGAAAAAGTTTTCCTCTTGCACTGTTAGGCCACTACTGCAAATATCAGCTGAGAAAAAGGTTCTCATTGGAAGCCAGTTTTGATTAGTGTGTGGAATCTTACAAGCTTATGTTTCATAAGCTAAATGCCAGGAGAAGGAAAAAAAGAACCTGGAGTAAATTTCATCTACTTGATACCGCTAACTTGATATATCTATGTTCAAAACTGTTAAAGCGGAGTTAAACCATAGAAAGAAAATTTACACATCAAAAAGACTTTTCAGCAATGTGAATACAGATGGAGACAAAGAAGGAGTAGGTCAGTGGTCGCCAACCAGCAGATCTCAATCTACCGGTAGATCTTGGAGCCTCTTGCGGTAGATCTCAGACCCTCTTGGAGTTGATTCAAGGCTGGGGTGGGGGGGCTGAGTGCCCATGTGCATGAACACGCATGCCCCAGCCTAGCAGGTCAGTCTGTAGGGAAGGGAAGGGGCGGGGGCTAGATCGAGGCCCCCCATGGTGAGGGACAGTGCTGCAGAGGCAGGAACATGGGTAAGTTGAATGGGGCCCCAGTCAGGTGGGACTTGTTTGCTGTGGAGGTGTACCCCAAATAATTTTTTCTCCCTCTGCCTCGATCTGCCCCCCACTTCCCTCCGCACAGACTTACCTGCTGGGCAGGGGTGGCGGGGGGCAGTGGTGTATGGTAGATCTTGGGTTGCTTTTAAATGCCACAGGTAATCTCCTACTTAAAAAGGTTGGAGACCACTGCAGTAGGTCTACTATGGCGTGAGGACAGTCAAAAATAAAGATAAATTGAAGCAGGGCCCAAATGTAAAGTGAATTTTTTGCTTGTTTTCCAGAATAGCAATGATATAGAATCTAAGGCAGAGAAAGGATAGCTAATGAGAACAAGACCACATCTGATGGAGAAGCAAAACTCTCAAGAGCTTACTGCTCAAGCTCAAGCTAGGAGCCCATATAGGCTCTCTGAACCCTGCACATAAGACTAGTGGTCCAGTAGCAGTTCTGTAATAAAAAACAAAATTGGGGGTGGGGAAAGTTCTGGCTGACTGGAAAATAGCTAACATAATGCTTTATTGAATAAGGAATAAAAATGATCTCAACAAGTAGAGGCCTACTAGGCTCTAGCCTAATAGCACACAAGGATTTGGAACAAAATTTTGAAAAATGAAATAATTTAAAACATGGATGTAAGTAGGCTAACATGCAATATGGGCTATCATCAGGGATCCAGGTTTTCCATTTCCCATGGAAAAACAGGAAAAAACAAAACAAAAAACCCCCCAAAAACAGATTTTCCTTTTTAACTGTGAAAAACATGGATTTTTCATTTTAAGGGAGAAACGCATGGAGTTTCCACTTTTGCAAAGAGCTCTGCAGGGGGCTGTGGACTGGGGCCCCTGGCCCCATATCCCTGGCAGCTGGGGCCCCCCTCCAGCAGGGGGGTTGGGGGCAAAAGCAGGGATTGGGGGCTGTGGCTTTGGAATGAGGTACCTATAATGATTGAGACACTTGTAAGCTTCCAAATTGCTTTAAAATAGTAAATATATCAATAAAACATTGTGTTCAATTGATACACATTAGAGGCATTTCATTTTAATCACAGATTTTAGGGTTTTTAAATGAGAGAATTTGTGATTTTTAAACAGAAAAACCAGGATCCCTGGCAATCATCCATATATTAGTCTAGCATAATCTCTCTGTCTGGTGAATAATTGATTTTTTTAGGCAATGGAAATGCAGTAGATCCAAAACAGATTGAATATCTGTAAGGCATTTGATAAAGGATTATATTTTTTTTTAGTTAAACTTCAGGAGATACAGATTATATGTAAACATTTTAAAGGTGGCTTAAGGATTAACTAAAGGAAAAAAGACAGCTATAGGTAGTTTTTAAAAGGTAAAGATTGCCAATGATGTTCAAGAATCAGCCCGGAGACAAAAGTTTAATTATTTTCTGTCATGACTTAGACAAAATAAAATGTGCTAATGAAATCTGTGAATGAATGACAAAGTTGGAGTTTGTTGTTTGGATGACTGTAATATCTTACGCAAAAAAAAGGATGACTGAGAACTGGAGAAATACAACATCAGTACTAATTTAGTAATAGTACAAAGTGCAAGAACAGCATATGGGAAAGAAGAATTTCTGCTGAAAGCAGGGGTCTCACCAGTTAGAAGAGACGGAAAAAGAGATTTGGATGCATAAGATGATCACAGGATGACTGAGCCAGTGATGCATGTGGTAAATACAACCATTGGCTATACCAGGAGGAGCATTCTTGGTTCAGAGAAAGAAGTATTAATGTCATTATATAAGGCACTGTAGGGACCTGTTTTAGAAACGTGTTCATTTATGGTCATCCATGTTTAAGAGATGATAGGAAACAAACAGGTGCAGATAAAGCTAGTAGGAAAGACCAAGGGAATGGAGAGCTTGTCTTGCAAGAGAAGGCAAGAAAAGCTTAGCTTTACAGCCTAGCAAAACAAAGGCTGATTGCTCACCAAGCAGCAGGGAAGGAGATTATCTATTTAAAGTAAAGGACAATGTTTGGACAAGCACTGTGTATGAACTGGTTGCAAACATTTAAACCAGAAGTTCAGCTTCAGAACAGGGATGTTCTCAAACAACCTTCCAGTACTGGGTAATCTGGGAAAACAAAGATGGAACTTGATCACCTTATGAAAAGGACATGTAGTGACTGCAATATCAGGGAACGCAGATGGTTTTTCCAGTCCTGTATTGCTATAACAATGCATTAAACAAATGCATAACAAGAGAAACCAGGTCTAATGAACAAGTAATGCTGAGAGATTACCAGAGTTCCAGGAAGTCACCAAGAAAAAGGATATCCAAATTTAGTTGCTTACTATCACAGAACTTCATTAATTTGTTCTTCACTAGTTTTTCCATTCTAGTAATACCCATAAGTTGCCCTATATTCATTCAAGGGCAAGGCATTTACTAACCCATGTCTCCTTTAACTGCAGAGCTAAAGAAACCATGCAAAACTGGCACTCATTTTTTTCTGATCAAAGATCACATCCGCTCACTTGCTGACAAGATGTTATTGCTTTTGTAGCAGGTATGTCAGGAATAAAAAAAAAATACAAGTGGGTGATACTGCATTCTTTTTTGTGCGTCAGCTTCATTTATTAACTTGCACTGTTACATTTGCACAAATTTAACATAAAAGGTAGCATAGAATTATTTGGCTGGCAGAACTTTCAAACTGACGTGCAATAAGGAAGAGATTTAGATCTCAGACCTGATCTGCAAGGCTTACAATGAGAAGTTGCCTCTACTTATTCATAGATTCATAGATGTTAGGGTTGGAAGGGACCTCAATAGATCATCGAGTCCGACCCCCTGCATAGGCAGGGAAGAGTGCTGGGTCTAGATGACCCCAGCTAGATGCTTATCTAACCTCCTCTTGAAGACCCCCAGGGTAGGGGAGAGCACCTCCTCCCTTGGGAGCCCGTTCCAGACCTTGGCCACTCGAACTGTGAAGAAGTTCTTCCTAATGTCCAGTCTAAATCTGCTCTCTGCTAGCTTGTAGCCATTATTTCTTGTAACCCCCGGGGGCGCCTTGGTGAATAAAACCTCACCAATTCCCTTCTGTGCCCCCGTGATGAACTTATAGGCAGCCACAAGGTCACCTCACAAGGTCAACCTTCTCTTGCGGAGGCTGAAAAGGTCCAGGTTCTCTAATCTCTCCTCATAGGGCTTGGCCTGCAGGCCCTTACTTGTAAACTGATTGAATTTTATATGCAGATCTTAGAAACTATTAAGGCCTCACCATCCTCATTTTACTTGCACTTGGATACTCATAAGATTTCACTCTAGCCTTGTTCTTAGACCTGGATTTTGCCAGGACATGACCAATGGATCTCCTTGGGTTTTGTTTTTTCTTGGGTTTTTTTAATTTATTTTTTAAAGCTAAGCTGAACTTATCTCCCTGTAAACTGATACCAGGTAGATTTCCAAAAGCTTCCTTTTAGCACTTAAATTCAAAGTCTGTTGACTTCAAAGGCATTTTATAAAATAGGGGTGGACAAAATCTGGCTACCAAATGACTGGACCTGGCCTGCAGATGAGCACCCGCAATTGTTTGTATCTAGTCTACAGCTGTGCACACAGTGCTCCACATGGGGCCAAGCCTCACCTGCTTCTCCCCAGGGCAGCCCATACTGCATTCCCATCCACGCCCACTGTCAGCCCCAGCCCCAGTTAGCATGCACAGCTTCCTGGCAGGGCTGTTCCTGGTGCAGCTAATTGCCTGGGTACTGCTTGGTAGGGCTGTCTGAGGCTTTGGATCGCGCTTTGAATCCGGGGCTGCTTCAGACATTTTGGCGTCCAAAGCAGCATGCCCAGAGTGAAGCACAGGCTCATTTAAGCCATGCAAAGAGGTTTGGAGCTTCTGAAGTGCTTCGGAAATGCTTCGGATGCTTTGGACACTGAAAGTGAAAGTTAGAAGAGAGAGGGGGAAGGGGGGGAGGGGGAGCCGGGTGGAAGACTGACATGTGTAGGTGGCCAGTGAGAAGGATTTCTCTCTGGCTGCCTTTCCAATGACAGTGTCTGTGGGGTGGACCTAGAAATAGCATAAAAGCCTCTGTTTGGAGGCATGCTGTGCCTTTTGCTAGTTCCCTCTCGGGGACTGCGTGAGTATGGAGCCGTCAGACTCAGGCATCTCAGCTTGCTTGCTTTACTCAGTAGTTGAACTTGCCTGCTTCTTTTTGTAGTTAGAAAGGATTGGGTAGGATTTAGCTTAGCTTAGCTTAGCTATTCAATTACTATTACTATTGAGTTCATTTCTTTCAATTTATATTTGCCCCTTTTTTTTTTTGCAAGCTTTGAAAAAAGAAAGCTGTGTTTTCCCCGCCAGCGTGATCCATCACTGTGCAAGGAGGCACACAGATTGCACACATGCATGCACACACATACACAATAGAA